CTTGCATGAGCGTTTTTCAGCGCTTTGATCAGCACTGAAAAACGCCCAGGTGTGAACCCAGCCTTAATGGTTTCCTGTTTTTAATTAAAAAAAATAAAAGCAGTATGAGGGTGTCTCAAGGGCATGCCATTTCACTAAATCTGGGTGGCATAAAGTGTCCCTCTCTACTATTTGTTTGAACCTTTTCAAGTCTCAGGGTAATCAAAACTTTTATGATCAGAACAATTTTTTAAAGTTTTGGAATGCACTAGTATACTCACCAATAGATTTTTTAATTACTTTGTATACCAAATCGATTTTCACTCCTTTTCTTAAACACTCTTACAACCTACATTTGTCAGTTTCCCTCTTTGTTCCCTCTTTCCCTCTCGATGTTACTCTAATGTGGCTTTCCGCCCATGGGCACAGATATTTCTACCTTTCCTTCTCCTTTACTCTTCTCTCTTCTGCTCTATCTTTATTTACTTCTTTCTCTTTTAGTTCCACCTTTAGTTTAACCAGTTAGGTTGATTTTCGCTTCCAAGTTGCATTTTATCAAGTTATTGACATGTTATAGATGTTACTTATGCTGCTCATGTTTCCACTTTTTCAACTTGGCTCTTCTTGTAATGTTTTGTATTTTTGTATTTTGTACCCAATAAAATATATATTAAAAAAAAGAAAAGAATATAGAATGAACCTTGCTACCCATATGCAGCATTGACATCCTGCTATGCCTCTGACATTGACAAGGGTTGTCCCTATTTGTAGCCATATCTCCCTCAGATAATGTACACCTCAATGCAACTTTCTAGCAACATCTGAACCTAGTCGCTGCACATGCCTCACTTATACCATTCAGAGCTGTGCACTGGGACTTCCTGGAATTCTCGTTCATTCTATGGTTTGTTCCCTGGACTCTCCCCCAATCCCACATACAGCATTAATTCCATGATGTGACCATTTCCATGTCCTTCTCTGTGTAAATAATGCTTTTAAGTCTGTTACTTTTTGAAAAATAAAGACATTTTCTTGTGAAAAAAAAATCCTAAATCTATGTTTTAAAACAAAGAAATGGACAAAATTGCAGTTTTAGTTTTTTTAATGTGTAACTTTTTTGTATACTTATTTATTTCCATGCTTAGTACATTTTGTCATCAAGGCATACCTGTAATGCTCCAGTCCTCCACATTTGATGGTGGCAATCTAAGACTCCTCTTTATGATGCAGGAGAGGCATTCCCAAACACACACACTGACAGCATCTTTTCAGACTTTGCTGCCTCTTACTTACACAAGCCAAAGCACTAAAACAATACTGTCTTGGAAGTTTAAATGTGATTAGTAGTTAAGAAATCAGAGAGCGAGAATGTTACACAGCACACAATCCAGGAGATACGAAACCAGGAACCCCATGATGTTCCCTCTACATACTGGCTGCAGAGGATTCTGAAGAACTCAAATTAAGGTCAATTGAATGAAGGACCCATCAGGTCCAATGTCATGCTCTCATTTTTCCTGTACAGCTTCGAATCTGACTGGAGCAATATTTTATCTTTATTATTTTTATGATTATTGAGGATTTATATAGCAGTACCAGTTTGCGCAGCACTTTACAATATAATTAGGACATAACAGTTACAATACAAATCAAGACAAGATGGTAAGGAGGGCCCTGCCCATGAAAGCTTCCAATCTAAAAGGGAGGGGCAAGTGATACAAGAGGCGGTAGCTGTGTGGGGATGAATTCTTTGAAAAAGTAATAGTTCATTGGTTAGGTTGAGGTGAAATAGGCTTCCCTGTAGAGACGAGGGATCGCCTAAAGGCAGACAGAGTAGGAGATAGATGGACAGGTTGAGGTAGGGAGTTCAAAAGGATGGGAAAGACTCTAGAGAGGTCCCGAGGGGAGCATGGGAGGAGTTGACGAGGGAACTGGAGAGCAGGAGGTTTTGGGGAGGAGCGGAGGGGACGGTTAGGGTGATACTTTGAGACGAGAGTGGAAAAGTAGCCGGGGCAGAGTTGTGGATGGCTTTATAATTGTTTTTTAATATTTGTAATTTTATCCTTTGGGCTATTGGAAGCCAGTGTAGGGATGGCAGATGGAGGGTTGCAGACACTGAGAAGTTGGTTAGGTGGATGAGTCTAGCAGCAACATTCATGATAGACTGAAGGAGGGATAGCCTGTGTAGAGGTAGGCCAATTACAATGAGGAGGGAGATGGGAGATAACATAAATCGATGAGTAGCTTTGTGGTTGCATTGGTTAGGAAGGGGCGTATTTTGGAGATGTTACGAAGGTGAAGGAGGCAGGATTTGGATAGTGATTGGATGTGGGGCAGAAGGTGAGGTTGGAGTTAAGGATCACACTTAGCACCTTGGCACAGGGGAAGGGAGGAACAGTTGTGTTATTGTTAAAAGTGAACCTGTTTGAGAGCAGACATTGCAGGATAACTGGTCTTGTCTTTATACACCAGACCCTGATATGAGTCAAGCATTTGTAAAGCCCCAAACAAACCAAAGCAAAATCAATTATAAGCTTGTTACCTACGCAGAGTGTTTTTCTTATTTGGATTTCTTTTTAACCGTTTCTCTAAAGTAGAACTGAAGCCAGAACTTTTATAGGGTTTAGAAGGGGATGGTTATAAACCTCTGGCAGCTTTTTTTTTGTCATGTGCTCCCATTTGGGGAGATTTCCCTTCACTTCCTTTCTAATAGTCACATCAGGAAGTGAGAAAACATTCCTCCAAAGAGAGGGAAATACCTTGTGGATTTGCGTTCACTTTCAGTGATAAGGGTCACCAAGTCAAACAGAGAGGGTGAATCTCCCACACGGGGACACAGACAACAACAACAACAAAAAACCTGAAAGGTGTTATAATGCCTCTCCACCTTTTCCAAAACTAAAAAAAAGTTTTGACTCCAGTTGCACTTTAACCTTTAAGCATTTTCCTGCAGGTCCACATTGCCATTTACAAAGTAAAACATACTGACAATACAGAAATGCAGGAAAATGCTGATAACTGTTTTACATAAACAGAAGTAGCATGATAATTACATTGGAGATATTAAAATAGTAAATGGTCCAGCACAATATTGGTAATTGATGTCTTTCATTTTTTAATCATCAATTTTTTGTAGATCAGGAATAGTTGAGTCATTATATTCTAAGTGTTGCAGTGCCTAGGCGGATTATCCGTTTATCTTTGAGAAAGTGTGTATGTTACAAGTAAAACAGTCATAAAGGCTGGACAAATGTTTTAACTTTTGCTGCTTTTGAAATATAATAGAGTTATATGCTGGGCGGGCCCTTGAAATATCTTCTTTTAGAGTACAAGTCAGGATGGGATTGGGAACAATTACATTTTACAATGACAGACTGAATGCTTAGGGCAATCGTAATTAATGTTCATCCAAACAGGCAGTTATTAATCAAGGTGCTGTCCTAGGAAATAATATTTGGTATGGGAACTTCTTAACAGTCACCATTTTCCTTAAAGGGGAAATTCCACTTTCCCAGGAGAATTTGGGAAAATTAAATGGAATTACCCCCGCAAATCTGCTCCATCCACCACACCCCATTGCTCTTACATTTGATCGAATGCTCCATCTCCTCTTTAGCTGCTGGTATACTACCTGTGCACCTTATACAGCAGTGCAGCCCTGCGCTTGTTATTTCAAATTCTGCTTGCAAATGGTGAGCTCTCATTGGCCGACACGGTCACCTGACCACGATGACCAATGAGAGGAGCTGATCTCCAGGTATGACTATCTCCCATCCTTTAAACGCTCCACTACTAATTACTAAGAGGGTTATTCACGAAAGGGTGAAGAGTTTGGAGAAGGCAGGAGAAGTGAACAATCTAGGACAACACAGTTGATTTGGAAAAATTCTCCAATTCAGCTCACTTTCCAGTTCAGCTACGTTGTCCTAGATTGTTCATTTCTCCTGCCTTCTCCAAATTCTTCACCCTTTTGTGAAAAACCCCTTAAGTTTGTTTAAAAAAGAGGATCTAAAGGCCCCAAATAATCTTCTAAATCTTTAGTCACACGACACACTAGGTTCTAGGTCCTCTATCTTCACTGCAGAAGAGCAGGGTCCTTATTCAGGTGTTCACATTACATCCAGGGTGACATGGACACTTTTTATTGGCTGTCCAGCTATGGGGTTCTCTCAGGCTTGCGCTCAATGTGGATTGGAGCAAAGTAATTGTTACTGTGCAGAGAGTGTTGTGGATACACACAGAGGGTATCCGTCATTGTCTTGCTGTCTTCTTCTTTTAATTGACTTAATAGGAATATTGCAAACTTCCCAAGTGTTGGGTGTCAATGGTTTAGCGGAACAAATGCCAAATGTTTCCATAGACTACACATTTTATTTGATTGAACAGATACATCTTAATTCAATATAGGGTAGAGGGAACAGTATTGAAATAGTCAATACATTTTGGGGGCTCATACAAATACCCCCTTCATCAGGGTTTACTAAGGGGGTACATGTATCAGAACTGTAATGGCCAGAAATTAGATATAGTTTTGTTCATTGTATGAGATTGCATAGAGCTCTTCAGCAGCTGATGTTCTCCTGTGGTAAGCCCTGATGAAGGGGGTATCTGCATGAGCCCACGAAACACGTTGGCTATTATTATACTGTACCCTCAACCCTATATTTAAGAAAGATGTATCTGGGCTATTAAACAGTGTGGCATTTCAATTCACAATCCTGCAAATTGATGCTACAAACTAAGAAGACAATGGGGATCTCCTGGAATGTAGAAGCTGCCAGTCCCGTAGTCAGATCACTTATACAGACTTTTTGCATCCCAGTTGGCCAGCTACACCAATAGACAAACCTTGTGGGTCCAACATGTTTATTCCACTTCTTTTCAGTTAATTGAAGGCACCTAGCAAAAAGGTAAATCGCCAGATGCATTTGTAAATATGTCTCTGCCCCACAGGTTACACCATTAAGTAAAATATTTCTAAGCTTCATACAATACTGTGTAGCTATGTTTTGCTGTTTCCTGTTAGCTTTACAGTCATTCCACCTTTATATTGGAACATCTGAATTTATTGAACATCTTCTCCCTCCAGGAGGCGTCTGTAGGTGGTGATTTCCTGTTCAAGATGAGTCTTCATGTCCATGAGGATTTTGTACTCCTGGTTCTGGCGTTCTATATCTGACCGCAATTCAGCAAGTTGATCTTGTATGCCACTAATCAGATCTTGTATCTGAGAGAGCTTTACACAGTATTGACTTTCTGTCTCTGCCAAGGTACCTTCCAATGCTGATTTCTATATTAAGGAAACAGATATATTTGAGCCAGCCATGTACTATATATTTCAATTTTGTATTTAAGGCAATGGTGATGTAGAAAGTTCTTTGCTAATGGGTATGAGAAAACTTTGAACAAAGGCCTCACCATGCTTAGCTGCATCTGGAGCTCTATCTCTAAGCTTTGAAGGGTACGTTTGAGGTCGGTGCTTTCAGTTATGCTGGACTGGATCTGTTCACTGTGACTTGCAACTTCTCTGTTCAGCTCTTCTGTCTGTAAGGTTAACATAAACAGTGAATTTTTTACACCTTTGTCCTCAGTCTGAACAATCATATTATAAAACCAGCCCTATTGCTCTACTGCCTTACCTTCTTAAAGTACCAGTCTTCAGCTTCCTTGCGGTTCTTTTCAGACAGTGTTTCATATTTGTCTCTCACTTCAGCCAAGATCTTAGTCAAGTCAACAGCTGGGGCAGCATCCATCTCCACACTAACAGTGCCATGAGCTTCTCCATGCAGGGCATTCATTTCCTATACACAAGTATTTTTATTTTAAGAAGTGGCTACATGATTTTTGTTTAGATCATGATAATATCAACATACGTATAGAAGAGAGCAATAGAACAACTATAATGCTGATGTCATGTGTATTTACTGTTACCAAATCGTGATATGGATTTGGGTGGATTGATATAAATTGGTTAGGGCATCTTATATGGTGGTCCAATGGGGTGTCTCCATAAATGTTGTACATTGGAAGCATATATCCACCAAAACCAACCTTAGACTACTAAGCAATGGAAAGGTAAGAAAGACAAAGTCAGCCTGCGGCAGCCATAATCACCTCTGGGATGCGCAGAATGAAATTTATAAAGATAATTTTTTGGGGGGGGGGATACTTACTGTATTTCCATTTAATTCAATTTTTTTTCTAGTCAATTTCTAAACAACATTTTTTTTAGTTAGACTACATTCAAATCTTTCTACATTGACCTACTGTATATTTTCTAAAATGTACCTTGTTATTAACCCTACCTCTTCATGGTTCTTCTTCAGGTAGACCAACTCTTCTTTCAAACTCTCAACCTGAAGCTCCAGATCAGACCTGTTTAAAGTCAGATCATCTAGGATTTTCCGAAGGCCATTGATGTCAGCCTCAACATTCAGTCTAAGAGCATGTTCAGTTTCAATCCTGAGTGAAATAAGACAGTTAATACATGACCTCATGTTGTGATATTGCTTTGTTTTTTCTCACTGGCATTATTACCTAGTAACTACTAAAGGTAACAGGCTGTTCACATTGAAGTTTTTTATTCTGCAAAGTAATTTACCATTGGCTAAGTGTATGTGGTGAAAATTCACAAGGGTATTGCCTGTGGATGTATATGCATACAGGCGCACAGGCATGCATATCTGGCTCAGTTAAGGAACAAAGTGGAGTTAGCAATTTGCCAGATGGTCTTCAGCTTTTTGCATGTGACTTAAACCCTGAAACAGTTCCTAATCTGCCTTTCCATTGCTGACCCAGCCAGCCTTTTGGACTTGTCTCTGATCTGCCTCCCTGTTCTTTAACTTAGCTAGTTCCTGACCATGCCTCATCTCTACTGACCTTATGGCATGACCTCAGATAGTTCCTGGTGACTGCTCATCTTTTCTGACCTTCTGGTGTCACCTTGGATAGTTCCTGACCATGGTTCATCTCTGCTGACCTCCTAATGTGACCTGGGCCTGTTTCCTAACCTAACTCTGTCTGCTAACCTGCCTGCAATTTGTCTACTTGGCTGCGGACCTCTGCTTTGCTTGAACACGCTTCCAGACTGCTGTGTGTTCCTGTGTTCTGGCCAGCCACCTCTCTGGTCTGCCCCTTCCCAGGACCTTCCTATCAGTCTGCACAGGCATCTCTCAGCCAAATACTGCTGCCAAAAGTAAGATTTTATTGATAAGACACCTGGCACACATGCCTTCATGTTCCCACCCACTCCCAGTGCTCCACTGCAGGGGTGTTTAGACCAGAGGTATATAGGAGGCCTTCTTGCCATTTCAACCTCCAACCAGGTACATGACACACATTCAAATAAACTCTTTGATAGAAGCAAAAAAGAAACCTGGATTTCTTTCACATGATTGGATGATGGAAGTCTTCAACTCATTCACTAATCTAAGGGAATTTCTTTTTTGCAAAGTGAAATTTCTCTTACAAGGTGAACAGCCTATTTGCCTTTACCAAATCAACCCCGGTGTCTCTGCATTTTGCACGGTGTTGTGTTGTAGCATGTCTTATAATCACTGCATTCACTGTTGGGGTTTTTTATGGATCAAAACAAGGTCCAAATTCTTACTTGGTTCTGAAGTCATCGGCAGCCAGTTTGACATTCTCAATCTGCAGAATCAGGCTGGCATTGTCGAAAGTGGCACTATGGATCTGAGAATTGTAACGATACAATACATTCATTTTTTTAGAACAAATCAGGTTATTACTACCACTTATGAATCAAATCTACTGTTCACAGACTGGGTTTGGTTAACAACATGGTGGAAATGTGAGCATTATAAATCAATCCATAGCTATGACCATGATCATGTCCAATCAGGTGTCCTTGAGATTAGTTTATACTAAAGGGGAATTTTTTGAAGAATTTAAAGGGAATTTTTGATGAATTGTTCTGAATTACTACTGCATATTGCTGGTCTTTGTTTTTCTAAAAGGTCTTTTGTAGGTATGACAGCAGAAAAAAATTTGTATATAAAAACTGAGTCAAATCATTGTCTAGGACTTGGGATATAAAAGAGGGAAATAACTGTTTGTGTTGCCTATAGCAACCAGTAAGATATTGTCTTTCATATTCCCAGTAAAATATGGGTATAAAAAAAAGAGGCAAACTGATTAGTTGCGATGGGAATTTAGTGTTCTGCCTTAAGACAGTATCAGTTATAAGACACTGTGTGCCTCTCAGTGAAATCATTCAGCATGTAGATTTCATTTTACAGTTACAGTACATATAACACTTGGAATGTGACTGGCTACCAAAGATACATTTATTTCCTTAAAATCAGCAAAGATACTTTTCTTTCCTTTAAATCATCAAAGATCATTTTCTTTCCTTTAAATCTTGCCTTATAAACCTTAAAGTGACTCTGTCTTTGCACTAAACATCTGATAAAAAGAGTTTCCAGCCACAGAAGACACTTTATATTCACCCTCACCTCTCTGGTAGCCCATATCTCCTACCCTGCTTCTGGACTGACTTTGCAGTTTCTGTCAGTTTCTTTACTGTTCAACACTTCCGGGAGTGTCAGATGCATGCCCACCACCACCACCACCACCACCACATGCCATGGTTTCTTCTTTATGCCCTACATCACAGTTGAGCTCCGTGTTGACCTGTGAGTTGGAAGGAGAAACCACGGCGTGGTGGGAGATACGGGCATCTGAAGCTCTCAGAAGTATGAAATACCAAAGGCAATAAGATTGATCTTGTGTAAAGATTCCCTTCAAGTATCCAGTCTTGTGAAAAGCAAATCCCTGTTTACTGCTTTCATCTGCACATGATTGGATAATTGCATAATATAATATACTATGCTGGGTATGAAATATGTAATTTTTTTTTAATTTGTAAAACAATCAGACAATTTAAAAACATAATTGTAGAAATAATCATCAGGTGGGACCAGAGGGAAGCCATTGGGATGGCTCAGTTCACTGACAGTGTACAGAGCCAATCCAAGTGGCTCCATACCTTGCAATCTCTATGATGACCAATCACAGTGATCACAAATGTAAACAGTGCAGTGTTTATATTGGTAAGCCAACTCTTCCTCCTACAAGGGAGGAAAGAGAGGAATGAAGAACCAATGAAAGAATGAATCATACATTCATTCATTGCAGATCAGTGGCAGAAGCAACAACAGATATTCAAGACTGTGAATCGTTTGTAACCCTTTCACTCGCCCTCCTCTCCTGCACATATAAAGTATATTCCATCTTTGCAGTGACCTGTATATTAACCCCTTTACCTCGCTTCTCTGGCAACTCCCTCATCCCTATTCTCCCACTCTATGTGACTTGTTCATTAACTCCTTCATCTTCTACTCCCGCTGTGTGTGGCTGATATATTTAATGCATCTAGTGCATCATTACCAAGCTCCATGCTTAACCCCCTCAATACCAGCATGTTTCTTTATTTCCCAAAAATTGGGACAATAAAATTAAATAACCTTGGGGCATCTACTTTCCAAAAAGAGGTCATTTTGGGGGTGTTTGTACTGCCCTGGCATTATAACAGAAAGGAAAAAATATATTTTTTTTGTGCACATAGGAGCAAATTCATCTTGGCATGACAAGAATAAAAAAAATTGCTGACAGGTAGAAAGAAGCTTTAATAGCAGAAGAGACTTACTCAGTCTTCTGCCATAAAAAGCCAGCCAATCGGCATTTAAAAAAAAAATCCACTTCCACTTTAATAGTGGTAACAACATTTATTTTATTTGGCTTCTTGTACTGAATGTAGATACAATGGTGAGTTATACAAACACAAAGGCTCCAACATGAAAAGTTAGATCCTAAATCTGGATTAAACTGTGTAAACTATTTGAATGCTTCACCACACTTGTGATACGATGATGTTCATTTTTTTCATTATTGTATTATGCTAGGGTCGTATGTATTGTGTTACTTTGTTTATTTATTTTAAAAGGTTTGGGATTGTATTAATAATTTCATTCATAGGCTAAACAAGACAATGGAAACACAGTCAATAAAAAGATAATGCAGAACATCAGAATACTCAGATGCCATTATTAGGAATATTAACAATATCAGTGGAAATTACAGGCTGGTTTGTTAAATGAAGCATTGCAAGGAAATGATGATGTACAAAGTGTCAAAAACCCATAGCAGCCAATCAGAAACATTGACTGATATGGCTTAGTTTAACAGAAATATGATTGCTTGCTCTGGGTTACATGAACATTTCACATCATATTTGCTGTGGCCTACTGAATAAATGTACATGTAAGGATCTGCTCTTACCTTGTTACGAAGATCCTCAATGGCCTTGTAGTACTGGCTGTAGTCATATGATGTGCTGGGGGCTTGCTGTTCATACCATTCCCTGATTTTGATCTCTAGCTCAGCATTAGCCTTCTCCAGAGCATGCACCTTGGCCAGGTAGGTAGCCAGACGGTCATTTAGGTTCTGCATGGTCTCCTTCTCCCTTCCACCCAGTAGACCATCCCCACCTCCAAATCCCCCACCAAAGCCATAACCTAGTTCACCTAGTCCACCACCTAAGTTGCTACCAAGACCGTTGACCTCTGAAGATAACCTTGAGGTTGAGAAGTAGATGTTTTTTCCACTGCTTTCATGGATGCTAGGTACCCTGTGGCTAGCCATGTACATCCTGTTTGAGCTACCACCAAACCCACTTAACCCCTGAATACTGCGTGAAGACATTATGGAACTTCAATGCTCCTGTCTTTTCTTCTATGCTATTCGGGATGTTTTGGGTCGAGAGTTAGAAATCAAGACTTTCAATCCCTGACTTTATATCAGAGATCTGGGCATAATTTCTTCCTTACGATTGGTTCTTCAAAAGAAAACATCAGGCTTGATTTGTGTGCCAACATTTGTGAGAGAAGTGGGATTCGTGATTACCTCATTGGTCTGAAAGAAATATTTTCTTACCAAATGCTTTCACAAATACTAGAGGAGGCATTGTCTGTGTGTGTGCTCTGATGGTTCCTAAAACAAAAGGTTTAATTCAGATGGAGTTAAGGAGGCTCCTGTCTTCAGGCTATGCATTTGATATTCTTGTACAGTTAACCAGGTAAAACAGTATGGTTACCCCTCCCTACTCTAGAAGGTTGAGGAATGTAGCTGAAATTAGTTGTGTTGTTCTAGACAACAATTCACTACTCTATCTTTGATTATGTTAACCCTCAGGGCAACCAAAAAAGATGTCTCCGTTGGTGTGATTCACCCCCTCTATTTGTACTGGTAGTCAAAGTGATAGGAAATCCAAAATGTTACAGTTGTCACCAGAACAGGAGGTAAGTAGAAGTCTTCCACTGCTGACACCTGTTTAATTGATAACTGTTTAACTGGCTGATATGTCTTCAGTTGGTAGGGTGTGGCCTAGTAGGAAGATGAGCTAATGAGGTAGGATGTTTTCCTTGCAAAGGCAGGCCCGCACAGTGAAGAACAGGGAATAAGTGTAGAGCCCTCTAAAATGTCGCTATTCAATTCAGAAATACCTGGACTGTAACCAGTCTAGATACTGATTATACAGAGCTCTGCATTCTATAGGTGTACCTGAATCTGTTGGATTGATTGCTCCTCCTGTTGCTGAGGAAAGGGGAGCCTTGGCATACAGTGAGGGAGGATGCATCCTCAGATTATGACTATGCACCTGACCCTAGCCAATCCCTGAGTAGGATGACTCAGAGGCATGGTTGAGGGCAGGTAATAAAAGGTCTGGGGACACTGTGCAGAGGTCTCTTCCCCTCCTGGGGCCTCTCCTCGGGAGGCCTATGTAATGCAAGAACTGTCCTGGGCCTCAGCACATAGCAGGGGCTGAGGGGCCTGGAGGCCTAGGATACACTGATACTTTGCTGGGCCCACACACGTGGCAGGTGTTGGGTGCCTGGAACTAGAATACACCACTGGATATCTGGCATGCACCTCAGCAGGTGGCAGATGCTGAGGGCCCAGAGATTTCCGTTATGGCTGCAAGGAGACCTGATGGAAGCTGGGCTGGAGTTGGAGTCATCTTATCGAGGAGTGTCGCAGAGGGGCTAGTGAGAGCTACCGTCTGGAACCCTGTAAGAGACCCCTCACCCTATTCCCAGGTGATCGCTATAGAAGAAGCCAGTTGTTGCTACCTGAATCCAGAGATAGTCCCTTCCTTTTCAAAGTCCTGGACTATCCTGGCTATACGCTGTATTGTTCATTTATTGGTCGCTCTGATAGGGCCATGATACTACTGACTTTTGCTGTTGCTAATGGAGAAAGCTGTCCTTAGAAGAATCCACCAGGACATCCTAGAGATCCTAGACTCTCTCTCTCCTGTTGAATCTGCAAATAAATATCCCAAAAGACCCTAAGACTTGAGCCTGTTTCTGTCCGTGAATGTCGATGTGCTGTTGCTGAACAAAGGGGACCGGTGGCTGGAGCAAACAGGTAGGAGAACCCATTTCATACTCAGCGGCTCCTTCAGGGGTGAGCGCTACATAAGCTAAGTGTTTTATCAGGCTGCACAAAGCACAATGGTACTTAAGGTACAGTTTTCTATACTACACATACAATATACAACATAATACAGCATATCTAAGAATAGAGTTGCTAGTGCTGGTTTTGATAGTATTACTACCACTGCTACTATAACTATCATTACTACTACTACTACTAATACTTACAATTATAATATTAGCAATCATATGATAGGAGGGAGGAGCAGAGTGAGCTGAGATGCTAACAAGCCCCCTATGTAATAGCAATTATGATGTGACAGGTCCTCTTTATAGGTCTTTCAGACCTAATGCCACCTAGGGACCCTAAAGAAGCTGATAAAGCAGAAATCTGCTTCACCAGCTTCTTCTCCTGGCTACAGGAGCCGGAGAATGTAAACAGTGACACTGGAAGTGATTTAATACACATAACTTCCGGGTCCAGTGATTGATGCGCGGAGATTCGCTGTGCCTGTCCCGGGCCCACACGGGGTACAGCTGGAAAGGCGGCGGCAGAGGAGGGGAGAGGGCACACACCGCTCGGTACAAACAATTGGGCGGCTGTACAGCCACTGTATCACTTGTACCTGAACAGCCATCGCTGGCTTTTTACAACAGTACCAAGAACACGGCTGCAGCAGCTGTGTTCTTGGTATAACCACTTCAGGGACCTGCCGTATATATATGTGGCAACCTGCCTGAAGTGGTTAAAGAAAGACTTGGATGACCTCAGGGGTTCTGTTCTGAAATGTTAGGATAAATTGCTCCACAGTGCCTCTAGAGAAGTCAGTGAGATCTTGTTTTAAAAGTTTAATTTTTTGCTTGTTCGTAATATCTGAATTCACTATAAGTTAGTGTACATGTTTTCTTTCTTTATTATGGTCAGTAAAAAATATATATATTTGTTTATCTAGTTGCTCCTCTGCTGAAGTCTTGTTTACAGATCTCAATAGCTTAAGCTGAAATTTACAAACTTACACAGGCCTCACTGAACAGCTCAGTCTTAGGTGGCAGATAGAGCACCAGTCTGCCTGAAATGAGATGACTACTGTAGTACTATCTCTTTGCTAACTGTTAGTAATCTGGAAATTATTTGACATGTTTTGTATGAACTGTATTAAACGAAAAAAGACATAAAACATGAGTGTGAAACAGTCCTGACACTTGAGCAGAACATTCAGAGGAAGGCGGCATTCCAAATTACACAGTAATATCACCAATTCAAAATGAAGGTTTAATACTTAATATCACAATAATTATTCTGATATTCAATATGGACCTTTCACGTGGAATTGTATACTACAGATAGTGTATGTTGTCAGTAATAATTCACATTTCAGCATTTGCGTGGTTTCTAATAAAACAATGCGGTTTATTAAATTGTCAGAGTTGTAAGCTTATAACAACATCTGCTTAGAAATAGCCTCATTAAAAGCCACAAAAGTACGATAATCCTTGTATAATTAAGCCGTCCAACCTGAATTCATTATGTACTCAGCTAACTCAATGTAATGGTTGGGAAGCAGCCGCTACATTGAAGGTGGTATCTCCTTCACTGTAACATTTCATCTGGACTTTTTTCAGCTCCAAAACATTATCATTATATATAACATTTAGCCTTTTACAGGCCACGTCTCACAGGTATTGAGACCACTGTATTTATTTGTTGCTTTTTAAAGTTACTCTCAACTTTATTTCAGAATCTGTGAACATAACTGGATAACGAGACTTTTAGCAGAGAGTGACATTTAGTAGGTAAGGGTCTTCATGTATGGCAGTCCATACCATGGATTCAGACCATTTCCATTTCCCTCCACACTATGAGAATACAAGAATAACCATGTCATTAAGAATTTTGAAAACTGGACACTTTCAATTAAAATACTGACAGCATAAAAAGCTTCCGTCTGACTCTGCCCTGTGTCCTAGTTATAGAACAAGTAAGTTAGAGTTATTGCAAAAAAGTGTATGACCAGGGTTCAGTATGCACAGGAGAGAAGTGTGGAGGGTATGAGAGTGGGCAGAAGTTCCGGAGAGGCATACGGAGGGTATGGCAGAGGGTCGTATGTGTTAGAGAAGAGTGCAGAGGGTATGATAGAGGGCAGTATGTACAGAAGAGGAGTGCAGGGGGTATGACATGTGGCAGATTGTGTAGGAGAGGAGTGCGGAGAGTATGAGAGATGGCAGTATGTGTAGGAGAGGAGCGCAGAGAGTATGAGAGATGGCAGTATGTTTAGGAATGGATCGCAGAGGGTATGACAGATGGCAGTAGGTGTAGGTAAGGAATGCGGAGGATATGACAAATGGTGGTATGTGTAGGAGAGGAGTGCGGTGGGTATGACAAATGGCTGTATGTGTTGGAGAGGAGTGCAGAGGGTATGACAAATGGCAGTATGTGTAGGAGAGGAGTGCAGAGGGTATGACAGATGGCAGTATGTGCAGAAGAGGAGTGCGGGAGGACATGACAGAAGGAATTATGTGCAGGAGAGGAGTGCAAAGGGTATGACATATAGCAGTATGTTTTGGAGAGGAGAGCAGAGGGTATGACATATGGCAGTATGTGTTGGAGTGTCAGGATCCAGAGCACCCCCAGGTGGCGCTGGAAACCTGCAGCTCCAGTACTCACCTGCAGGTGTGCCCAGGCTGTGACTGATCATCCCATCACCTGGTGCTTCCTGGGAGGGTATTTAGGCCTCCCAGGCCTAAATATGACAGGGGGCAATATTTACATGAGAGGAATGCCAGAGGGTATACCAACAGATAGTATATGCAGAAGAGGATTGTAGAGGGTATGACACTCTCTGGTAGCATGCAGCTCACATAGCATTGTCTTTGCTAAGGTATAGCTCACATAGCACTCACTGGTGATGTACAGGTTTAGAGTTTTTACAAGGCCTAGGTATTCATGGCCACCAGGGTCAACTCCAATTTGCCCAGGACACTTTAAAATCCTGCTACCATGCCTGACCATTGTTATAAATAGATTCAAGCCTTATGTTTGACAGGCTGCCGCTAGTACTGTCTTCCGCAGGTTAATTTGGGCACTCTAAGCCCAAATATGTGTTTGCTGTTTTAACCTCCCCTAGATTGTTGTGCAATGAGATTATTCAATGCAATCTATGTCACTGAGGTGTAGAGAAGGGTGCATATTAGGCAGTGGTTTTGAGACACCGTGTGTGTCTAAATAATCCCCTTGCCGACATGCTGCACTTTCTGGGCTGTTCTCAGGTCTGTAGAGCGATATAACTGCCTGGTAGTTGCTTGTATTTTATTGTATTTATTAGAGACCAGCTGATGCACACAGAGAGCCCCCAATTAAATTATTTATCTTTAGCTCACGGACACCATTAATGGTTACAGCACACAGGACTGACTCACTGCAATGATCAACAGTGTGGCGCCAACATACAGTGGCTCCAGCTGACGCACATTTATATGTACAGTATCAGGGGCGGACTGGGCCGGGGGGCAGGGTGGCAATTGCCCCCCGGGCCTCTCTGCTGCCTTCAAAAACGGTGGATCAAGAAAAATTATAGAACACTTACTTTGACACTCTCCGGCCCCTCCCACTCTCCTCCTACAGCTCACAGCCCAGAAGCATGATCAGCCAGCAGTGGGTGAGAGTCCCTAAGTAGCGGACATGGAGCGGAGTAAGGCCAGAACCATGTAGGGAGCTCAGTGGGAGGAGAGTACCATCCCCCAGCCAGTCACCCCTTTCATGGACTTACTAGGAGTACTCACATCACCCGACCGTTCACACTACCGTTACATGGATGGTCAAAAGTGGCAGACGGGCGGGGGAAGAGGCAGAGCGGGAGGGGGGCCAAGTTGCTGCACCATGGGCCTCTGGGTTGTACTTGCCCCCTGGGCTAAAAGTTGCCAGTCAGCCCCTGTACAGTATGTATTACTATCCATGTGCAGTGGGACCGGCTGAGAAGCAGAAACCAGGTCCTGTCTACTATATGAGTAACAGATGGAGTTCCCCATCCTTGGGAATACAGATGTAGGAACCACATTCCCTCATGGACCTGCAGAGACCCTGAGAGCTTCAAAGAGTCTCGCATGGAGAAACAGTGTTAAGCAGAAAAGGAGTGTATTAACCTTAGAAGAGTAACTTTATTGTCATTGAAGTTGTATTCCTTACCTGCAAGAAGTTGTTCTGTTGTGCATATGAGCAGTTTTCAGTTAAGTTCCTGAGCAGTCAAATGCCTGAACCTCCACTGGCTTTAACTTTTCTATCAAAACAAATCTGTTGAAAGGGAAGAATAGTTGACAGAGATGAAAGACTGGAGGCTAAGTGTGGTTCTGAATAGTTTTCTTAAGCGTGACCACACTATAGGAGAGAAAGAGAATGTATGAGACCTCCTGGATTAAGATATGAGGCCCAAAACTCAGATGTGAAAGCCAGTTCGTATCTACAGAGGGATGCAGTTTAATCTGAGACACACCCACTTAAAAGAACCCATTGAGTGTTACAAGCCCTAGTTTGTGTGCATTGGTGCAGTGTTCAACCCTGGAAGCTCCCGGTGTTGTCTAAGCTCTGGAGATGTATGTGATGTTTCTCCCCATGCTTTACGCATGGTCCTCGAGGCTTGTCATTGAAGGTCTCCTGCTGCCAACTAGTTCTCACATACATAATCATTTATGTAACGGTTACTTACTTCCCGCAGTCCAGCACCAGAGCCTTTTTACTCCCCTGTGGCTTCATTGCACTTCTGGGTTTTACCTTGAGTGTGGTGGCCACATCACATGATGTGGTGGTGTGCTAGATCTCTCATTTAAACATAAAAAGCCTCTATGCTTTCATGGGCTTAGTGCCCATAACGTACATGCAACCGAAGTCTCTACTGCACATGCAACCTAGTAATTTCCTCAGCCCCCAGCAACCTCAAGCTTTAGCCCTGAGTTCATTTACCAGTATCTCATGCCTCTCCCACATGCCAGTTCTTTGTTATCTGCTACCTACCCTCCTGCAAATCTGTGAGTATCTGTTCAGTGACCCGTGGCTGGCCAGCAGCTAAGCCCAAACTCCCATTGCAGAGTGAAATTCACTACATTCACCAATCTGAGGTAAACTTCCCATGCAAAGTTCAAATTCCCTTGTGAAGTGAACAGCATATTAGCCTTTAGTAATTCAACCACAAGAAATGCCTACAATGGTAACTAAAATCGGAGAGGGGGATAACAATTGTAATTCCCAGAAAAGTGTCAATCTCTCCAATCTGCAACTCTGACCGTGTCAGGTAAGATGGGTGTATGAAAGTCATGTGTAGGTGGTTCACATGAATGAAAGTTATAGCAAGGTTTACATTCTAAAAAATAATTAGATACATAGAAAAAGGTTTCTCAATCTTTAGGGTGCAACAATTCTGCATGGCCCAAGAAAAACAAATTACAAAATAAAATAATAAATTATTAAAAATTTTTTTATCAATAACTGCTTAATAGCACCCAATAATTCTCCTTTACTATTAACAAATAAATCATACAGACAAAATACAATTGCATGAAAAAGCTGATAACTTTATTAGATAAAAGAGATATAAAAGAGGCCTCAAGAAGTAGCATGAGAATGACATTGCAGACATTACAAGAATGATCCAGCACAATATATCAGTGATTGATGGTTTTTAATGATCCAATTATCGATGTCTTGTAGATCAGACATATAGTCTAGTTATGGTAGTCCAGTGCTTCTGCAGTGTTATAGGTGGGTCAACAACTGCAGAACATGTTATATTACACCTAATATGTTTCTTTCAATCGGACATCTGTGCCAGATTTAGAATTCCCCTATTCTATTAATACTTTGCTTTCTGGACTCTTTCACTTGAAGAAATAACTTTTCCATCTACGGTTTCCTCAATGATGGTGCGGACTTGGCGTGAGGTTTGAGGGCCTGAAATCAAAAAAATACAGTCAAGCATTGTCTAGCTTGGATGGGAAAAGTAAATATACTGTAGTCATTATACTTTATTAGAATGATTCAGTAAACCACAATATAAGCTGTCTTATGTTAAAGGTCTGTTAATAACAATGGTGGATAGAGTAACCAAGGGTAAAAAGTACTGGGGATCCCAGTACCTATCTGACATAATTTAGTACAAATGGACCCCTAAGCCCCAGATTGCCCTAGTGCAGCTTTACTGTCTGCACAAATGGTAGGTTCACACCTGGTTAATACTGTCCAAAAATGTCCATGGTAAACTAGGCCGTTCTTGAGTGCTTTGTCCATGAAGGTACAACCATTTAAAGGAGAACTATGGGGTTAGGGCTTTTCCCCATAGTTCTCCTAAGTGTAACGGGAAGACACAAACTAACGTCCTCCCGTCACCCAGAGCTCAGTATACCACGAGCTACAGCTCGCGGTATACTGAGACACTGCAGCCGGAACGGATCCCGTCAATTCTGTCTGGATCCACCCAGCTGCGTGGGTGACAGCTGGCTCTGCCTATCTAGAGGCAGAGCCAGCTGTACCCGCCCCCTCCCCAGTCCATTTTCCGCCAGTCAGCGCTGGAAGATCGGAGGGGGAGGGGAATGCCTGCAGGGAGCCGTGAGTGACAGTCACGGCTCTCTGCATGGATAGATCGAGAAGTAAGCGAGCGCCGGTATGTGTTCGCTCACTTCCCAATCTACTGAGCTGACCTGTGACCGTTTCATTGTCACAGGTCGGCTCAGATTATGAGGCTGAGTGAAAATCACTCGCCGCATAATTCTCCTTTAAGTTATTTGAGGCAGTAATAGGCCTATAAGAAACTGAATGCAGAATCTGGTGGTTTTATTAACAGGAAGTTGGCTGAGGGTGGAAAAATAGTGTTACTGATCACATCAGTTGGACTATTGTTTTAGCTATGATTTTCAAAAACCTTTATGAATATCTTTGTGTCTTTTATTGATCAGTCTTTAATATATACATATGTTAATTTAGGTTAGCCACACCATAGTTGTTCTCCTAATGAAAAAGGAATAACAGACACATAGATATCTCTACAGTATACTAAAAGGCTTAGTGTAAATGGTAGAAGACAACCAATTAGAAGCCCTACCAGTAAAACCTGGAAGTTGCTTGTTTGCTCTGGACACTGAGCTAAGTACTGTGCTCGTTGGACCCTTTTTTTGAAAATGACCTAGAGGGTAGCATTACTTAACTGTAATATTATACTATATATCAGATTTTGTCCTTTCTTCCAGTCACAAGGGAATACATTAATTAGAAGTTAGTGGGAATTCTACTTACTTTCTTTGTAGGAAATTCTGTTGGGAGAAAAGAAAGAAAAATTAGAATCCAACTATAAAAAAATACTCATTTGGCATCATTACAGACTACTTTGACATGCCAGGACAGGTTTGAGAACAAGGAAATTATATAATGACAAATTGATGAGGGAAATAATGAAGCCAGGTTCTTTCCTCTAAGAAGAAGTAATATTTGGGATGGCAATGATGAGGATTGACTTTTTAACAGTCACCGCTATACTGAAAAAATGTGACTCCCTGTTTTCTTTATATTTCTACTTACTATTTCTACTTACTTGACATCTTCTCCATCAAGGAGGCGTCTGTAAGTGGCGATTTCTTGTTCAAGACGGGTCTTGACGTCCATGAGGATTTTGTATTCGTAGCTTTGTCGTTCCATATCTGACCGCAATTCGGCGAGCTGAGCTTCTACACTGCCGATAAGGTCTTGTATCTGAGAGAGCTGTACACAATATCGGCCTTCTGTGTCTGCCAAGGTACCTTCCAATGCTGATTTCTATAATAAGGAAACAGATATATTTCAGCCATATACCATTTTCATTTGGTGTCTGAAGCAATGACGATGGTGGAGGTTTTTAGTTAATAGGTATGAGAAACATTTAAATGAAGGCCTTACCATGCTTAACTGGGTCTGCAGTTCGATTTCTAAGCCTTGAAGGGAACGTCTGAGGTCGGTGATTTCTGTTTTGCTGGAATGGATCTGTTCGCTGTGGCTTGCAACTTCTCTGTTCAATTCTTCTGTCTGTTAAAGTAGATAATGAATATGTTACTCTGTTTGTCCTCAGTCTGAACCAGCCTTTCTCATCCAGGGATCTATTTAAACCTAGGTTTTCCACTTAAGGTCATTAAGGGTTCCTTGAGCAGTGGTGGACTGACCTCCTGCTCGACACTGCCTTCATAGTTCTAGTGCTGATGTCACTTGGCAGAGCCGTCGGCAGGGGACCAGTAGAGCTTTGCCTCTCATCCTTCCCTAAGTAACCACTGAAGTCAACAATCTTTTTTCGGCTGTCTCTAAGAGGAATATTCTTCTCACAGACCATCAATGTAACAGGTTATTATTCTTCCCAGTGACCCCAAATGTGAAGGGGCCCTTCCCTCAATGACCACTAATGTAAGAGGGCACTTCTTTACTGACCACTAATGTAAGAGGTCACTTCTCCATTGACCGTTTCATTGTCACAGGTCGGCTCAGATGACCACTAATGTAAGAGGGCACTCTTCTACTGACCACTAATGTAAGAGGGCACTTCTCCATTGACCACTAATGTAAGAGGGCACGTCTCTACTGACCACTAATGTAAGAGGGCATTTCTCTACTGACCACTAATGTAAGATTTCATTTCTCCATTGACCACTAATGTAAGAGGGCACGCTTCTACTGACCACTAATGTAAGAGGGCATTTCTCCATTGACCACTGATGTAAGAGGGCATTTCTCTACTGACCACTAATGTAAGAGGGCACTCTTCTACTGACCACTAATGTAAGAGGGCATTTCTCCATTGACCACTAATGTAAGAGGGCATTTCTCCATTGACCACTAATGTAAGAGGGCACTTCTCTACTGACCACTAATGTAAGAGGGCATTTCTCTACTGACCACTAATGTAAGAAGGCACTTCTCCACTGACCGATGCACTGTTACCCTATCCTACCTTCTTGATGTACCAGCCTTCAACATCCTTGCGGTTCTTGTCAGCCATAACTTCATATTGATCTCTCATTTCACTTAAGATCCTGGACAGGTCAACAGCTGGAGCAGCATCCATTTCCACACTGACGGTGCCACGGACTTGGCCACGGAGGGCAATCATTTCCTGCACACAAGCATTTTTATTTTAGAAAGTGACTATTAGAACATGATAATGTGATGTTCTGTAATTTGACTTAATTTTACACATCATGTGTTGTTTTCCTTACAAAAGGGATGACTAGTGTAACTATAATGCAGATATCATGTATTTCATTGCTGCCATATTTGAGATAAGGATCTTGATGTAAAGAATATTTCCACTTTTTAAAACACTTGTCAATGTATAATTCATAATGAACTATGAACATGGGGGCAGCCATATATGCTCATTACATATGCAGGCTTGGCTTACTGCTTTGAAGTGCTACACAATGGTTGTGCTTTACTGCTCTATTTCTCAATGAAAGTCTATTATCTCAGCAGTTGTTAACAAGGGAGGTGGTGTGATTGCAAGTTAAGCATTTGCATTCACTAGCAGTTGATCTACAAATCTGCATGTTTAATACAATATGAAATAACAAGCATGTCAGATGTAAAAGTCAACTAAGGTGGACAATTATAACTAAACGTCCATAATAACTCAAAACATAGTTTAATTAAAAACGACTAGGCAGCCCCACAAAAGTTGTTATTGGGGAGGCCATGGGGACAGACCAAAGTATATTAAAGGATCATTTCCCCCAAAACCAGCCTTATTCCACCAGGCAAATAGCAAGTGAGACAGCCATTGTACACAATTTCATCCCTCTAAAAAATACCTGATAAAAAAAAGCTTTGATCAAACATACCTCTTCGTGGTTCTTCTTCAGGTAGGCCAACTCTTCCTTTAAGCTCTCAATCTGGAGCTCCAAGTCAGACCTGGTTAGAGTCAGTTCATCCAGAACTTTGCGGAGGCCGTTGATGTCAGCCTCAACATTCAATCTAAGGGCATGTTCAGTTTCATACCTAAATTAAATAAGACAATTAAAATGTGTGATACTGGTGTGTATTCTTCTATGGTGTGTCTTGTAAGGACTGTATGTGTTGTTAGTGTCTTTTGTGCACCAAAACTCGGTCTTACTTGGTTCTGAAGTCATCAGCAGCAAGTTTGGCATTGTCAATCTGCAGGACCACGCTGGCATTGTTCACAGAGGCATTAAGGATCTAGAAATTGTAAAAAAAAATACAATAACATTGGGTTATTCCTATTTCTTATGAATACAATCTGATTTGTATAACTTGCTTTTATTAATAACATGGTAGAAACAAAGAGTGTTATGCATTAGGCCATAGCATCCAATCGGGTTTCCGAATTGTGGAATTTAAGATATTCAGAATAGTGAAAGCTGATGTCTAATTGGTTGACTGTTGTACAACACTGCTCTTTGTTTTATTAAAAAAAACTCTTCATGTATCTGTAATGGTGGAAAACATTTGCAATTGTAATCATACCACACCATTTATCAGAATTTAGTCCTTTAGTCCAATTGCCTATAAATTGGGGGGTAATTGTTTGGGCCTCATTATACAAAGTAAGAGAATAACTGTGTGGCCCTCAGCAGCCAGTCGCAGATTTTTCCATGATTTTTCCAGCTCAGTATGGAAGAATGAAAAGAGGAAACAGATCAGCCAATATAGGAAACAAAAAATGTTTTCCTTAAGACAGTTCAGTCATAAGTCCCTCTTTGCTTCCCAGTGCAAACCAGTCAGCTTGTTCCTTTCATTTTATAGTCACTAGAGTTATAAATGTCAGAATCTGACTGGTTGCCAAAACCGAATTTAAAGGTTTTCGTATTTTGTTTCGTTTTAAAAAATGTCCAAGCCGTGAATATTTGAGCATTTGTATATTATATTGCTAAAATGTATAGTGTGTCAGTACTTTTAAATGTGATTCTAATTTATTAGAGACACTGTGCAAAACTGGTAGAAGGAAGCTTGCATGTCTGATTGCATCATCTGTGTGAGTCAGTACTGCAATGATGTCATCGTTATGAGCATATACAAGGTGAAAAGCCATCCAATCATAAAGGTTCCACTTTTCTTAATGATAAATGATTATATTGTGCTAGATTAAGGTTATGTATTGTGTTACTATGTTTGCATAACTCTGCTCTTACTTTAAATGCTCTGTGTTTTGTGTAATTGTAATGATCATTTGCATTTTAGTCTAAATAAGACAAGGGAAACACAGTCAATAATCATTCAATGTAAAATAATAAAATACTTAAATGGCATTATTAAGACTATTAGCAATACTAGCCAAAATTACACCCGGATATGAAACATAGGAAATTGCTCATGGGGAAAACCCATTGGCAGCCAATGAGAAGAAATCTCTTGACAGATGTTGCTACATTTAACAGAAAATGGATTGGTTGCTATGGGTTGGTCTCTTCACATCATACATTCATATGGGTATTTTACAAGAATGCACATAACGGTTCATAGCTGCACAGTGGGTGTAAATGATAATGTATTGGACCTCCTCTTACCTTGTTACGAAGATCCTCAATAATTGAGTAGTATTGGCTGTAGTCACGAGAAGGGCTGGGGGCTTGCTTCTCATACCACTCCCTAATTTTGATCTCCAGCTCAGAGTTGGCCTGCTCCAGAGAGCGCACTTTGTCCAGGTAAGAGGCCAGGCGGTCATTCAGGTTCTGCATGGTTTCCTTCTCCCCCCCACCCAGGAGACCATCTCCACCTCCCAATCCACCACCAAATCCACCTCCAAATCCACCTCCATATCCACCTCCAAATCCACTTCCAGAGCCATAACCAAAGTTAGATGAGTAGCTGCCACCATAACCACCACCTGCTCCACCTAGTCCACCACCTAAGCTGCAACCAAGACCACTACCCCCAGATGACATCCTTGAGGTTGAGATGGAGATGTTTTTGCCACCGCTACCTCCATGGATGCTAGGTGTCCTGTAGCCACTCATGGACACTCTGCTTGAACCACCACCTAACCCACCTGAACCCAAGCCTCTTGAGGATCCTGATGTAGAGGATTGGCTAATGCTATATGAGGCCATAATGAAACTCTAATGCCTGTCTTTTCCTATGTGCTACTTGATGTTATGGTTGAGAGATAGAAGCCCAGACTTTCCATCCCTGACTTTATACCAAGAGACGTGGGCGTGATTTCCTATTAAGGATTGGTTCCTTGTAAGAGTCATCAGCTTTGATTTGCGTGCCAACATTCGTGAGAGAAGCGGGATTCATGATTACCTCACTGGTCTGACAGAATAACCCAGAAGTGTCTCATACCCCCTCCCCTATCTCTTCTTACTTTAAATCTTTCATATACACATCTCTTTCACATACACGGGAGGAGGCATTGTCTGTGTGTGCTCTGCTTGCTTCTAAAACAAAAGGTCTGATTCACTTTGAGTCAGGGAGGCTCCTGGCTTCAGGCTATGCATTTGACATTCCTGTACACTTAACCAGGTAAAATAGTATTGTCACCCCTCCCTATTCAGGAAAGTTAGGCTCTTGAAATGAGAGATTGTGTTGTTTGAGACAATTCAATCCTCCATCTTTGAGTCTGTTAACCCTGAAGGCCAGTATGACAAAGATAGTATCGAATATGACAAGGAGTATCTCACTTATGACAAGCAGAGTATCTAATATCAATCATTAAAGTAGATCTAAACCCTAGCTGGATGATATTTAGTTTTTTTAAGCATTTTGTATCACAAACAACTGCTATGCTTTTCCATTAAATAGTGTTTTCATCTTTTTTTGCATCTCAATGCTGCTGGTCTTCTACAAACATTTTCAGCCACCTTTCTACATGCACTCACTCCAGCATTAGCTACACGTCATTGCTCTAGAATGGTTTACTAATAGTGACCACCTTGGACTGTGCATGAGCAATGTGTGTTGGTACTGCCCCTTACAGCTTCCACCGGGGCTGCATGTGACAGGGCAGGAGCACAAATGAGAGAAAGTTATTACCCTATAACAGGAAGTTGCTCAAAAGAACCTTCATGGCAGGGCCCTCAGGTATTATTTTACTGAAAGCTGCATATTTATAACAATATTTAATTGTAATTGGGTTTACAGCTACTTTATTGATTCACTTAAAAAAAAAGAAGTAGCAAATGGTTTACATATGCATGGAGGCAAATGTAAATGACTTGTATGCTAGTGTTGCATTTATTTTCCCATTAATATTGTACTTTTATTATTGTGATCTTCAGCTCACTATACAGTATTTAATAGCAATGCTGATAATAATGTGAATAATGCTACTAAAAAAATAAATATAATATTGCAATTTAAGATAACATCTCAGCAGAGAGCAAACACATAGAAGGACTAGATCAATGGCATTTGTGAGATGCACAAACATGTGAAACAAGAGGAATCATTTTTCCCAAAAGAGCTAACCATCTAAAGAGAAAAATACTAGATACAACAGCCATGGGAGAGATGACAGCACAGGCTACTTGATTGATTACATGGGTAATCCAAGTGCTATCAGTAGAAGATGTTGAGTGAATTATGTGGCAGGAGTGAGGGGGATACACAATCTGTCCAAAATAAAGAGACCACCTGGATTTAGCTAAGCAAATAAGTCAGAGCCTTCCATTGGATAATAGGTTTAGCTTCAGCAAGCATATGTGCCCACAAAAGTAGGTCAGCTGTCTACATGAATATATTGAATGATCAGGTTTTTCCATCAATAGATTTTTTCTTCCCTGATGGCACATTGGGCATATTCCAAGATGACAAAACCAGGATTCATCGGACTCAGATTGTGAAAGAGTGGCTCAGGGAGCATAAGACATCCTTTTCACACATCGATTGACCACCCTAACTCCATTGAGAATCTTTGGGATGTGCTGGAGAAAGCTTCACGCTGTGGTCCGACTCTCCCATCATCACTACAAGATCTTGGTGAAAAAATAATGCAACTCTGGATGGCAATAAATGTTGAGACATTGCATAAGCTTATGGAAAAGATGCCATGGCAAATGCGTGCCATAATAGAAGCTAAAGGCGGTCCAACAAAATATTAGAGTGTGTGACTTTTTTTGGACAGTCGGTGTATATGCATACCTTCCAACTGCCCCTTATTTGGAGGGATTGTCCCTCTTTTGTAATCAAATCCCTCTGTGCCTCTTTCCTCCTCAGCTGTTACCTCTTTTTGGTCTTATGTGCGGACATCTATGAAAATATTTAAGTACCAAAAGTGTTTTTCTGCACTAAAATCTTTACCGTATCTCTTAATTATCTTGTTTGTCATTTTGAAAGCAAAAAGGAAAAGTAATGGTGAAAAAACTATGGGGGGGGGGGTTCATTGCCTAAATACATTGTGCGGGAAGGCGTCCCTCTTTCTCATCTCAGAAAGTTAGAAGGTATGTATATGCCATTCCAAAAAGATGGCTAAGTGTCTTAATGCTTTTGTTTTATGGCGTGTGGAAGAGAGAGCCAAAGCATTGGACAGCACTACCTGGAGTATAAAAAGTGGTTGTGCTAAGACCCATTATTAATGGGACACTTTATTACTTATAATTACTGTCAACTCTGCAAAAAAAGTGTATGACAAGAATCTGAAACAACAGTAAAATAGATCTTTATATCTTTATATTAGTATATTTCTGACCATATATCTAATAAAAGGGGCTCCTACCATGCTGGATTTTAATTGAAGCAACCCTGACAAGGTTTATCAACAAACAAAGGTGCCGTGCAAAGTTAGAGCTCTTAACTTTTATTACTATGTACCTCTCCAGAGGCTTGTGTCTTCTGTCTTCCCTACATTCCAGGGCTGAAGCCTCAGTCAGTCGGTTAGGTATTTAACTCTTCCGGGAGGTCGGATGCCTGTGTCCTCTTCAGCGCAATGTGGTTCCATCCTAGGACCTCTACATCGCTACAGGACTAAGGCAATGATGTAAGGGTCAGAGGATAGAATCACAGTCTATGGCAGTCTATGGCAAACAGCCCTAGCATACACCTTCACATTCTAATCAACAATTGCAACTTCCAAATTTCCTACCCATCAAGTTCCATATTATATTGTGAGTGGACAGATACTTTTTATTAAAGTATATCTAAACAAAAACATGTTTTTTCCAATTTTGGATATAAGAGGTAAGGTTTAAAATGCCAGCTGTACTTTTTGTGTCCTATAGAGGGGCTTCCCTTTATACCTGCCCTCTAGACACATCAGGAAATGGAAGAAATCTCCTCAAAGGGAGGGATAAGACCTTTTAGACAAGAGTCCCCAGTGGAAGACTTCTATTACGGTCTTTGTGACAGCTAAATTTTAAATTTATCCTTACTTTTAGACTTGACACTATTGATCATTTGGACAGACAAATAGGGTGACTCTTACCAAAGGAGACAGACAGCAATAGGGGTCTTCTAATCCTTCCACACTCTATCACAAATATTGGAGGCTTTATGTATACTTTTTGACCCAACTATACGCTAGGCTCCTGCCTAGCGTATAGTTGGGTGAATGCTGTTCGTCAAGGAGTATAGGACATCGTCGTCGTCCCCCACCCCTCCCCCACCCCACCAACTGCTGCATGGGAGGATTTTTTCCCCCCAGAATTCAGCTTTAAAACAGTACACCAGCTAAACACAACAAGATAAATATGAATATGAATGAAATATGAGTGACGTATTAATGAATAGAATAGAGCTGCATTTATTTGTGTCTTTTATTTCTGCCTGGAGTTCAGTGAGAACTAAAAACTTGGATAAAGGACAAGTGAGTATTCTTGATCCATTCTGACTTCATGTGATCTGAATTTTTGTTCCTTGGTATGAATTATTTTAACTGGATCAATAATCAGGAATACTATGTGGATAACTTTTGGAGAGACTCTTTTGCTGAGATGGCCATTTTGTGTTCTATAATGAAAACAATGTGACTCAAGCTTTTTATTTGTGTGGATGTGTGAACTTTTATTACTATATACATTATCTATTTTAATCAGAGCTCAGTTTATTGCATGTTTATATAGTTATTACTCTATACATAATAAAGATGCAATTATTTCAATTATAATTGTTTGGTGCAATTATGATCAAAATTTAATTGTAATTTAATAGAATGTTGAGCTGTTCAGAAATAGTATTTTTATATTTCTTTCTGTAAAGCTCTAAAGCAATTATTACTTGAAGGGCCCATTCACACGATGTCTGTTTTCTGTGCTGACCTGATCCGTACGCTCCTACACAAAAAATGCATCCCAATGTATCCCTATGCGCAGTCCGTTCAGGTTACGACAGAAAAATACTGCATGTCACATTTTGTACGGTCAGGAAACAGTCCGGAAACGCAAAACACGTCAGAAACGTGTCACAAACGCACTGTACTGCAGCTAACATATTCACAGCCCCCACTCCAGCAAAAAAAAATATTTTTTTTTTTTTTAACTGGAACGCATCAAAAATGCGGCAAAACACATAGCACCGCGTCTGCAGATCCTCACCTGATCCAGACCTGATCAGGACCTGAAAATCATGTGAACAGGCCCGAAGGGTCAGTCCACTGAACACTGATGGTTCAGTTTTGGTATATGCTGGAGGGTTAAACAACTTGAGACTTTCCCATGTCTCTCAAAGTCTCTATTGGTTGCAATCTCAGCGTTTGAGTTCCTGGATCTGCTGTGGCCATTATGAGTGGGGCCCTCACTATCTCTTTTATATTTAGCCAAATGTTCATTTGTGAGGTCATGTGTAGTGACTTGACTAACATTTTTTAGACTGTATGGAAGGCCTTCAGTCTTGGTGCCCAACAAGTGGTCCCCCAGTGATCAGCATGTGGCCCACTGTGCTTCAGACCTCAGACCGGCAGATCTCCAGCTCCCTGACCGACATGCTTCCTCTCTACACTCTTCTTGCTTGTTGGCAAGAGCAGCCATGGGATTTCCTGTGTTAGGATTGCTCACAGAATTCCCCACTTGTCATTGGGCTTAGCTGATTAGTAGAGTAAGAAAAAGAGGCCTCAGCTGTGACCCTTGAGAGTACCAAAGGGGTACATATAATATTTAGCATATGAGGTGCTATAGAAGACTGTCATAGACTGAAGACATACTAGAAGAGATAGAGACTGCAAACACACCACATGTGTTGCTGGTGACTGGAAAA